CCAGATCAGGTGCCCAACCAGCCCCAGCCAGTGAGTGGGGGTTGCAGCCACATCTCAGTGTGTGCGTGAGACTGTTCACCCAGAACAGTCTGTCCCTCACCCCCGTGTCTCAGCTCTGAGGAAGGGGGGCAGGGGCCCACGGTCAGTACAACAGTAAATTTGGGAACAGACAGGCACTTCAAGGGGCGCTTGGTCCTCGAGGGATGAGGACTTGAGCGGTTGGAAACGGAAACCTCACTTTCCCCCAGGGGAAGAGAGTGGGAGCCCAGAGTTGAGGCCTCGTTGAGAAGGGGGTTGATCGAGGATGAGTCTTTGTCACGGTGCTGCCCTCAGTGAGCACAGGCCATGGGTTGTGTGTGTGTGATTGTGTGTGTGTGTGTGTCTACAGCTCGACTCCGCAGATGAACCCCAGTCAACCAACTCACTCCGTGAGGAGAGGGGTCCTGGGAGAGGAAGAGGAAGCACTCAGTGCAGGGCCAGCCTGGCGTGCTTTCCACTGGGTATAAGTAACAGCAGCAGCACAGTTAGGGGAGAGCACGTGGAATGTCCCAGGCAAGAAAGGGGACCCTACAGTGAGCAGTGCAAACCTGCCTCTTGGGGAGGGTGTGGGCAGGCCGCGTGAACAGCGGAAAGGAAAACATGGCAGGTAGCCTGGTCTTGGTATCGGCAGGGAGCTGAGGTCCTTCAGACCAGAGCTTGTTCTGTGTGATGATACCAAAAGGCAGCGCCCTCCCCTCATGTCTGGGGGCCAGTTACAATAGATCACAGGTCATCCTGAGGGCTTGGATGACGCTGGTGGCCGTGGGGAGTCCCAGGAGGACTTAGGGACTGCCCTGAACACTTCATTGTGGAGGTCACACCAGAAGGAAGCGTAGTAGGTGGGCTGGAGCCAGGTGAGGCTGGAGATAGTTTGTGCACAAGGCATTCCTGCTCCCCGCCAGGGAGGGCCCGTGCAGCTGCCCTGTATGCAGGTACCTGCCTTCAGAACAGAAGCCAGGGCTCAGAGGGAGCTTTATTTCCCCTCAGAATCATTTTGGGGTTGCTATTTCTCTAAGCAAGAGACATACTCATATATTTTGTGGGGGGAAAAAGGCCCAAGTTATCCTCAGACTTGTTCTGAGCTTACATGATATTGTTGTTGTTTTTTTTTTTAAGATTTTATTTATTTATTCATACAGAACTGGGGTACAGGCCAGAGGTACATGGGCAGTGAGAGGATTCACCAGAAGAAAAGCAGGGAGCAGAACAGGTTGACTGATGAAGAACACTGCTGAGGGGAGCATCGGGTGGGTCAGGAGAGATCTGCTGCACCCTGTGGGTCACCTCCGTAGCAGGGATAGAACTCATGCTGGGTGACTTTAGCTTCTTAATGCTGTGCTTTAACCCGCTGTGCCACTAGGGAGGGCCCTTACATGATATTGTTAGCACGTGCCCGAGGGGGTACCCAGGCACCCCAGGCCTAAGGGTGTCTGCTTCATAATGAGGACCTGCCATCCACTGCATAGAGACAAAGCAAGATGACTTCATGTGAAAGAGCTTTGATAGAAACAGTGTACACAGAGAAGGAAGAGAGAAAGGGTATTTCTTTTTGTAAGAAATTATTTCCTAATTATGCATATAAGAACTGGGTATAGGCCAGAGGTATGGGGTCATGGAGGGAACAGTGAGAGGATTCACCAGAGACAGAGTGGGGAGCAGAACAGGCATCTACTGAAATACACTGCTGAGGGGAGCAGAGGGTGGGACAGGAGAGGTCTGCTGTGCCATGTGGGTCAGCACCCCGGCGGGGGACCGGGTTGGGGATCGATTCATGCCACAGTGGCTGGTGATAGCTTGATAGTACTGAGACTTAACCTCTGCGTCATCAGGGAGGCCCATACACAGTTTTTAATTTTTTGTCAAATCTAGAATACAGCAATTCCACTCTGAGAACAGATTGAGATAGAGCTTCCGGGACCAAGACCCATTAATCACATCATCTTGCCTTCAGGTTTCAAGGCAAAGACCCACGTTTAGATTTGGTCTGCCCTTCCTCTAGCACAGAGCAAGGAAATTCACCAAGTCTGTGACCGTGAAGGAGTCACCTCCCTGTCACTTCATGTGTCTTGGGACCTGCCCTGCCCTGGGAGGTCTGATACCAACTGGGCTGTCACTCCGATTTTCAAGTGAAAAGTGCAACCTTGCACAGAGGCGGGGCGGAGAGAAGAGCAGGAACCCCCTGCTCTGGAGTTCGGGCCTCCTGCACCCCCTTCTGCCTCCACATCATGAGCTTCTGCTACCCAGTTTGTGACCATTAATCTGGTCCATTTCCCACCTCTTCCACTGAGGGAGATGATGCCCAGCAGGTGAAGATTTAATTATGCACACAAAACTGGGGTACAGGCCAGAGGTGCAGGGGCAGTGAGAGGATTCACCAGAGACAGAGTGGGGAGCAGAACAGGCGGATTGATGAAGTACACTGTTGAGGGGAGCAGGGAGGAGACAGGAGAGGTCTGCCTCACCATTGTGGGTCACCCCCATGGCTTGAAACTAGCTTCCTGGTGCTGCTCTTCAACTCGCTGCACCACCAGGGAGGACCTGAAACTTTACATTTCTAAGGAAACTTTACATTTCTTAGAAAGCAGGGACATCCCCTGTGTACCCACAACACCCCCTGGGCATGATGCAGACACAGAGGGATTAGTTAACCCCTAGGGGCCCTTAGAACAGTCTGTCCTGTCTTACTGATTAAGCAACCAAGATTCCCAAGTACTCTGGGTCTTCGGGACACAGGAGAAGGGCTTGAGGCCCCAGCAACCCCTGCTGTCGTGGAGGGTTACTGAGTGTTTCTGACAGCAGACGGTTCTTCTAGACAATGCGGCTTCCTAGCTCGGGGACCTGCAGCTTTTAAAAAACATCATACTTATTAAAGGAGCTCTGTTAGGTGTTCTTAGAGATAGATTTTTCTTCTGTGGTGCTCTCATGTGCTTTAGTAAGGAAGGGATAATGAGCACAACCCACAAAACTAGAATAAGCAAGTAAATAGACAGGTGGGACTAAAGTCTACAGCTTCTGCATGGCAAGAAATCAGTCCACAGAACGAAAGGGTAGACTGCGGGATGGGAAAAAAGTTTATAAACAGCTACTGGGTCAGGGGTTAATAGCCAAGATATATAAAGCACCTATATACAATTTACTAACAAAAATACAAATACCCCAATTAAAAGTGGCAGGAGAACCCAGGAGACATTTTCTAAATTGGACATCAAAGTGGCCACTGGGCTGTGGAAGATGCTCAACGTCAGTGATCAGGGGAACGCAAATCAGAACCACAGTGGGATTCATTATTATTATCATTATTTTGGTACTAGGATGGGTTTTATGCAATCTAAATGCCTGTGTCCACCCAACGGGCAGCACGGAATCATTTGTCCTTTCTTCCCTCTGATGAAGCCAACTGGTCTCCTCACCCCCTGGAAGAGCAGCCAGTGATCGTCACATCTACCAAGTTGGTTTCCTTGGAGCGTGGTAGCTTCAGCCCTCTAGAGAGACATGGCGATACCGCAGGCCAACTGATGGCCACAGGTTCATCTGGCCAATGATTCATTCATTCATTCATTCAGCAGATAGTCACTCACCAGCAGCTATCCTGAGGAACAGGTGTTCTCTGTGCCCAGAGCCCGAGGTGGGATGAGCTGACCATGAGGACGCCCTTGTCATGGATGTGCCTAGGGCAGGGCAGAAGTGTCCTACGGACATCAGCTCCAGGACCCTCTTGAGTGTCCAGGGAAGATTCCAGGAAGGACAAGCACCTGCAGAGTTGGAAGGCAGCTGCTGCAGGGGGGCGTCTTGGAGTGGAAGACCTTGGGAGCAGGAGGAGTCCGCAGAGCCCTGCCCTGTGCCAGCAAGGTGTGGGTGCTCCTGAAGACCAGAAATTCACTGTGAGGAGTCAGCAGTGGGAGACAGCACCGACTCCAACCGCTACTCACGGGGACAGATGGCCAAAGGCAGCGAGAAGGCCCCAAATATTCCTGAGATAATGGGAAGAGCAGGCAGTGAAGGCCAGAGAGGGGCCAGCAGGGAGGCGCTGCAGGATGGCCATGGACAGAGATGTTGGGGCGGGATGGGATGTGGGGGTCGGGCAGGTGGGACTCGCACTGGAGATGGCAGGAAGGCCCTTGGGTGAAGTGCGGGACAGAAGACAGCAGCCTGGCTTGGTGAGGAGGTGGGGTCTGTCTCAAGGGCACTGAAAGACTAAGGGTGGCCTCTCGTGTGCTCCTCCCCACCCCTGGAGCTCCGAAGAGGCGGTGGTTAAGATGGGCCTTCCACTAGGGCCCTTCTTGAAAAGGAGATTATTCGGGCTCAGAAGGCCCGTATGAAACCGTGGCTAGACAGTGTTTTGCAGAATCTAAGCCTTTAGTTCACAGGAAGAGCTTAAGAGCACCATTGTTCTCTTCCCTCTGTCTCCCCCTCCTCCAACTCTTGCTGGCTGAATTTTGCAAGGCCAGCGGGTTCTGACCAGCAGAAGCTGGTGGGGGCAGGTTCCAACAGGCTAGCTAGACACTGTGTTCTAAAAACAACCAGGAGTAACCTTATGCATGCTAAGGCCCCCGAAATGAGTGTGCGGACCATGAAGAGGCATAAACAGCTCCTGCACGCGGGAACTCCCCTCAGCCTTCCTCCCTGACCAACCCAGACAGCTCTGCACCCTTAAAGCCCTGAACCCTGCAGCAGCCTTGACCGGTCCCATAACAAAGGTGCCCCCATCCCTGCCAGTTCAGCTGTCTGCACCCACTAGGCAAAGCACCTAGTGGTTCAGCTACAAGCAGGTCTCTAGAAACCAGTGTGAAGGCAGCCGTGGTCTGGCCTTGTCTGGATTCCACTTTCCTTCTTCCTTGTCTTTAAAAAGTAACTGAAACTGAAAGGTGAAGATGCTTTTAAAATGATAGATGCCACAGTGGCACAGCGCCCCTTCTCCGTGGCCTGAGGAATTGGCGGGCCTGGGATACAAGTGCCACGGGTCATGCTTGTGAGTCCTTGGGCTCCTCCGGCGTCATCTTCCTCAGTTTATCCACACAGAGCAGGATGAGGGTGAGAAACCAGAGACTCCAGCCAACAGCGGCCGCGATCCAGCCGTACTCATCCACGCCCGCGTGGCAGCACTGGGCGGCTTGGGGGCAGAAGTCAACATCTGGTGGAACAGGGCAGACACTCAGGGGGCATCACACCAGCCCCGCCCAGCCTCCCCGTGATGCCACAATTGCAAGACCAGCAGCCGCGGGACAGCTGGCATTTGCCAAGTGCGTGGTGGGTGCTGAGCTAAGCTTTCCATGAGTTACCTTCTTCATGCCTCACAAAGTGACGGATACAGTTATTCCCATGGGGAGAAACTGAGGCTGAAACTTACCCAAGGTCTAACCCAGGGTCACAGGATCTAAAGTCCCGTTCTTAACCCGTAGAGAGTCCCCATTGCCCTCTGCGAAATAGAAATAGCACCCCCTCCACTGCCCCGTGGAGTAACTTATGCTAAGCTCACCAGGGCTTAACACCTAACTGCAGTCAGCCTCTTCCAGGAGTGGAATCTTAAACCAACCTGTGGGGAGCTGGCTGTTCTAATAAGGGTGGCTGCCCAGAAGACCCTTCCAATGGCCCCTCAGAGAATGGCTCCTTGTCTGCTCATTTCTGCTTATAAAAATCTTCCGTTTGTGACATGGGGGAGGGGGCTGCCTGATTCCCGCATCGCCACATGAGTCAATGTTAAAATTAACTTCAACACATTTTGTTTTTTAAGCCCACCTTTGTAAGTGCCTAGAAGGCAAACATTTGGTATTCAATTCCGGCAGGTTAGAGGGAGCTGGACTCGGAATCCAGTGAAACTGTCTACTACCCAGACACGAGTACCATGGTAGCTCGTGAAGGAGCTGGTGAAGTACTGGGCTCCTTGCCTCTGACACTGTTCAAGCGGAGGAGGAATCTGCAAAAGGTCCTTAACCAAAGCCCCGGGATCAGCAGGAGGAAGTGAACAGGCTCATCTGTGTGGCCTTTCTGCTCCCAAATGTCCACACACATCTGAAACCAGGGCATCCTTGGCTGCGCTCCAGAGGACACGTGACCACAATCCTCTGTTCCAAAGACCGAGCCTACATTGGCCCCAGGCCATGGTAACCTTTTGGATGTGGCCTGAACAAACCAGCCCAGTTCTCGGGTGCCTGGCTCCTGCCACCAACCAGCAGAAAGTAATCAGGCTTAAGGTCCCCCCAAGATCCAGGCCCACCTCTGGGGCTAGGGGGTGTTGGCGGAAGCTTACTAGGGCACTGCTCCAGGGTCTCGGGGTCTGGATGGTGTGTGGTCAAGCTTGAGTTGTGGCCGCTGCTTGCTTCTGGAAGAAAAGACAGAAGATCGTCTCGGCAGTAGAACAGCCACCCTAAGTGGAGAGTTTGAAATCTCTGTTGCGTTGCAAGCAGGCAGAAGAGATGTTCCAGTCTAGGTCCATTGAGAGTTCACACTGTGCACTGAACTAGGCCCCCACCCCACTCATCTATTGAATCCCAACCTTGCTAGTGACTGTATGAGGAGTCAGGGCCTTTCCTGGGTAAAACGGAGACCAGTGGGTGGGTCCTAGCAAGTCCTTGTGAGAAAAGGAAAAGATACCAGGGCTAACGTGTGCAGAGAAAAAAAACACATGAAGGGCCCTCCCTGGTGGCACAGTGGGTTAAAGCGCAGCACTGTGAAGCTGTCCGCAGCCACTGCAGTGTGAGTTCGATCCCCAGCCAGGGAGTGACCCACAGGGCGCAGCAGACCTATCCTGTCTCCCCCCTGCTCCCCTCAGCAGTGTATTTCAGTCAATCCGCCTGTTCTGCTCCCCACTCTGTCTCTGGTGAATCCTCTCACTCTCCACACCTCTGGCCTGTACCCCAGTTCTTATTTGCATAAATAAATAAATCTTTAAAAACCAAACACCAAAACCATGGGAGGTGGCGCAGGCAGGAGCAGCCATAGCGCTCTATTCTCCATCTCCACCCTCCCTCAGAGACACGCGGCAGCGGCCAGGCCCTGCCCGGGGAGCTTCCTCTCAGCTGCTTCTATAGCACATGGCTTTCTAGTCTATAGGAAAACAGCCAAAAAATCCAAAATGCTGTTTTGTAACCATCTTCAATTCCCTTCAAAACCTTGAACATATCAACTTTGAAATTAGATCTGGATTCTTTATTTCTGTTGATGATGATGGTATTACTTAGGCAGATGATTAAAAAAAACAACAACAAAACTGAGGCAAATACCATACAAGCAAATCCAGAAATTGCTAAAATAAGCAGCCTGGAGAACTGTCTCTTGGTTAATGAGCGAGGCCACAAAGACAACAAAGAACTACAGCAGGAATTCTGCAGGTTGCCAGGGTCGTGGGAGGGTGAGGCGCGGTTGTGGAGATGAACATAAGGACCCCCCGGGAGGAAAAACCATTGGCCACATGCCTCTGGCAATGAGAATATGAAGATAAATGACCGAGGCCTTCGTGTCTAATTCAGCAGCCATCTGCCTATTTACTGTTATTAAATTAACATTGGATAAAATTAGATGGAAAAAAATCGCAGTTTCCTGGTTTCACTAGCCACGTTCCAAGTGGTGGCGTGGCCGTGGCACACGTGGCCGTGGCACACGTGGCTGTGGCGCCATGTTGGACGCACAGCAGAGTCATGAACGCTTCCGTTATCACACAAATTTTACTAGACAGTGTTCATCTCAACAGGCAAAACCAATCTTAAAGAATCTTCCTGGAATTCTATTGCTGTTCAATCTGCTGCTTTGGGAATGTCCACAAAACTAAACAATAAACCTATACATGTGGCGTGAGAACTCTCCAGCGCCCACTGACTCAGGGTCAGCCTGTCCTTCTCTGGGACAAGGAGCTTGTTGTCATGTAACTGGGCCAATTAGATACCAGGAAATTACTGCTCAGACTAATTTTATGCCACCCACCCCCAAACCACTCCGGCGTCCTGCTTAATGCTCAACAATTACCTTGATGCGATCTGTTACTGTAAATTATTTACAGCAAAATGGCTCTGTGCTTGTTCTTTATTTGTTTTGGAGAAATTGATCCCTCAACAGTTTAAATTTCCAAACCCAAATAGCCCACATGACCTCCTTGGCCCTGACTTCCATCTCCCCTCCACCTCTGGAAAGGAAGTGCTTCCTGTCTGGATCAAGGCAGTGAAAAAGAAGCTCGTTAACTGGATGGTACTGTCAGGTAAAATCTTGCGGATGTTGTTGTTAGGTAAAACCATTTATTTCTGTCGGTCAGAAATGGTACAATATTAACAACGTCATTGCTCCCAATAGTAGAGCCTAGTCATAAATTCCCAAGAATTTGGGCATGACTATCTTCCATCAGAAGCAGAACCAGCAGGGACAGGTCTTTCAGGGGGTCACTTTCAAAGGGACTAAAGGCAACAGGGACTCCAGAATGACACCCGCAGGTGGACAAGGGGGTCAATTCAAGACCCAGCAGATCACACATCTAGTTTTTCCTCAGGAAGGATAAAATGTCCACTCAAGGAAGGACTATATCCAACCCCCTTCCCACTCCAGCCACCACCGTCTGGCTTCCCTCCTCAGAGGGAGAACTCAGCAATTCTGAGTTAAGTGGGGGGGAGGGGGTTGAGCCCCTCCCTATCATAAGGAAGACCCTGGTCCCTTTTATCTAGGGATCAGGAGATTTTCCAATGAAAATCACACAAACATGCTAGCGTTTATTGTTTACCATGCATGGTTTTATTTAAAGTTCTTCACATGCAGGGAGTATTATTTCACCTTTAAAACAGCCTTCCACAGAACACTATGCTTATCCCCATGTTATAAATGTGGAACCTGGGACACAGAGAGGTTAAGTCAGTTGCTCAAGGTCACACAGCTATTAAGTTGTAGACAGTGGAGTTGGGGTCAGTCCCAGGAGGCTTGAGAGCCCAGCTTGGAACCTCCCTGTTAGAGACAGTTCCGACAGTGCTGCCGATGAGGGGCGACACCAGCTGAGGAGAGTGAAGAGGGTTGGTTTTGAGAGAGAGACTATGGGGAGTCTATGAGGAGCAGGGCTGAGGAGCCAGCAGTGTGAGTGAGGGTAAATGGCGCTGACCCCAGTCAGGGAAAGCAAGTCAAGGGGCAGTTTGAGCCCCCTCCAGCCTCCCCAGAAAGAGGGATCCCTCAACAGCCATGCTCGGTGGGCGAGAACGCCCCAGCGCTAAGCGCAGCTTTCCGGGCTTCACGCTTTGTGAGTCGCAAAGAAGGCAGACGCGGGAGGGACAGGGGACCTTCAGTGCGAGTGCGGTGGGCGGGAGAGTGGGGCGCAAGGAGGAGGGTGCCAGCCACCAAGTTGCCCTGGGGCCACGAGAAGGGGCCCCCAAAGATGTCACTTGAGGCCACGATGGTCTCTGCGTGGGAGAGGGTCTCCTGCAATGGCTTTTTCCTCTCTGTGGCAAAGACCGACAGGGGCGTCCCAGGGAGGGGTTGAGTACTTGACCTGCACCTGCGGTAAACTAAGACGCCCCTTCCACCCACCCCACCCCCTCCAGCCTAATCCTGCAGATGAGAAGGGGCTGACCCTTCTGCAGGATCAGCCCTGGCCAAGCCTCCGTCCTCCTTCCCTCCAGCCCTGCCTCCCGCTCCCGCTCCCAGCGCAGCCAAGAATCAAGCTCACAGTTCTACCTGCCAAGCAAGCTGAGTGGAAGGAGGCAAAGACCAGGCTGAGTAGAAGGGTGGCCGGCGTGGCAGCGGTGAGGTGCCCCCTGCTGCGGAGGGGCGCCCGGGTGTGCACCATGCCCGCGAGCCCGAGGCCGCGGAGCCGCGCCACCGCCCGCGGCTGCTGGGTCCTGCAGGAGCTGGGCAGCCACCTGGCAGAGGTGAACTTCTGCTCCGTGTTTGGGGGAAGAGAGGAGGTGGAGCAAAGGAAACTTGGGCTGCCACACCCTGCTTTCACCTCTAAGGAGGAGAGTCGGCCTGCTGGCGGCCGGTGGGGGAGGGGGAAGGTAGCCGTTCCTGAGGCTGGCATTTACCCTTCCCCAGGCAAATAGGGCTTCCTGCCCTGGTTCTCGGAGTTGCCCCTCGTCTACTTGCAGGTCACCCCTGTTGCCCCAGGCAGTACTCACTGAGCACCTGCTGTGTGCACTGTGCTGTGCTCCCATCTGGGAGTGCCGGGCCCCAAGGGGTCTATTAAAAACACTAGGGCCTCCCTGGTGGCACAAGGGGTACATCCCTTCCCTAGGAAGCTGGGAAGCTGTTCTGCAGCCACTGCAGCGCGAGTTCGATCCCTGGCCAGGGAGTGACCCACAGGGCCCAGCAGACCTCTCCTGTTCCCTCAGCAGTGGATTTCAGTCAGTCCACCTGTTCTGCTCCCCTTCTGTCTCTGGTGAATTCTCTCATCCTCCCCCAGCACTTCTGTACCCCAGTTTTTATAGGCATATATAAATAAATTTTTTTTTTTAACCACATCATTAAAACACAGAATGTGTTTGGGGGTTGACTTGGGAAGGGCAAAGCACTTGGAACATTTATAAAGACCTGGCCCTGGGGGAGGATGGGTAGGGTTAGACAGGTAAAGACAAGAGAGCAGAGCAGGCAGGCGGGCAGGGGAGCAAAGACCCAGGCATCAGAAGTGCTTAGAAGGCCACAGTGCCTGCTCTCCGCGTTCTCACCGAGCATGGCTGTTGGGGGACCCCTCTTTCTGGGAGGCTGGAGGGGGTTCATCCTGCCCTGTGACTTGCTCTCCCAGGCTGGGGTCCGCACCGGTTACCCTCACTCACACTGCTGGCTTCGGCCTCTGGCTCCTCAGCAACCCTCATAAGTCTGGCCCCTGCCCCCACAGAGTCTCTCTTCTCTCTCAGCTGGTGTCACCCCTCATCCGCACTGTCTCTAACGTGTCTCCACCTCAGGTTTACTTTGGAGGGCGTACCAGGAAGCCACAGGCTAGACATTCTGTGGGAACCGGCTCACGAGTCTCTGTTCTTCAGTGGTTGAGATAGGTGTTTGGTTACAGGCACTTAAAAGAAGACCAGGCTAAAGTATCTGTGGTCAGGCGCCCTGGGGAGAACCGGGTGGGGTTGATCTCTAGGGTGAGATTCCTGTCTCCAATTTTCTCAGATAAGATTTAATTTGGAGAAGAAAGAAAGGGGCAGGGTGTTCCTTGGGTTGAAACTTTGCAAACCAGCCTTCAGAAGCCTGGAATGGCCATGTGTTGCGTATTTTATGTTGAGGATACTTCCCTGCTGGTTCTGATAGGATCTGGGGAGAGACTGCTGCCCTTGACCTTGGGACTTTCATTTCCCGTTAGTCCATTCCAAGGAGAATCGTGGCCCTGACCACGGCTGTATCCACTGTTCCTCAACTTCTGGGCAGAGATGGAGTTCATGACTCTTCCTGCGGGTGTCTTTGTCAGAATCTTGTTTGCACAAAACGATGTCAGTCTCTGGTTGCTTGGGGGATGGAGCCATCCAGACCTCCCCTTGAGCAGTGCTTGCTTGGTGAAGAACATAACCGCTGCTGAGTCTCTGATTTGGGAAGGACGTGGTGCGGTAGGGATTGCCACACAGAGGCCAGGCTTGCGTGAATAAAAAGTGACAACATGGGCCTGTGGCCACCACGTGGAACCATTTTTTGAACTGTTCCCAGGTGACTCAGGCAACTTGCACTTCACCCACAAGTGCAGGACAACGGTCCAGGCTGAGGCGAAGTGGACAACAGGGTAGGACATTGCTCCTGGTCTCTGGGTCCCACTCCCTCCCATCTGCTCAGGAGTGTATTTCTTCACTTGCAAACATATGGCAGCTTCTGGTTATCTTCTGGTTATTGATTGCTCGCTTAATTGCACCGTGATCTGAAAACTCTTGAGGAATTCCATTTTTAGTTATTCACTCAGAACTGTCACACGTCCAGTTTTCGTAAGTGTTTGGCGATGACTGAAAAGAATGTGCCCTGCAGTCGTGGGGTTCAGTGTTCTACTCACATCATTTGTATCAAGAGCGCTAATTGTGTGGCTGAGATCGTCTAGGGCCCCTTGTTTCAATGCTGTGCGCTCATCCTGCTGAATCCTGCAATGGATGGGTACATTTTTCTTTTCCCTTTTGTTAATTCTTTGCAGAAATGGTTAAAGCTGTAATTACAGATCTTGCAGCCACGGAACTGCGCCAGCTTTCTGGTGCATGGAACCTTTTGGAGAGCTCACGTCGTACTATTCTTCACTCCTAGTAGTGCTTTTTGTCATTAAGTTTACTTTGTCAGATATTACTATAGATCTGTCTATAATATTTTTGTGGGTTTTTTTCTCATTGCTTTTGGATTGAGTACTTTTTCATTTTTTGACTGAAGTAAATTTGCATTGCAACTTACATAAGTTTTGGGTGTCCATCCTTGAGAATCCACATGTGTCTGCTACATGAAGTCACTGCTGAAAGTCTAATTCTGTTTTTCAGTGTCCCGTTGTTCCCGTTAACTCAGTTTACCTACTCCCTTGAGTTTGATTATTCCCTCCTTTTTTTTTAGAGCTCACAGCAGGCATTCTTGTCTTTACTGGAGTCTACTACTAATTGAAACTTTTGCTATCTTCACAGGTAAAGTGAGGACTTTATTCATTCATTCATTTATCTATCTGTCTACCTGTCTCTCTGTCTATGCATGTTTAGAAGAACTGGGGTACAGGCTAAAGGTTCAGGGGGTGAGAGGATTCACTAGAGACAGAATGGGGAGCAGAACAGGTGTAGCTACTGAAACCCACTGCTTGAGGGGAGCAGCGGGGGACAGGTGAGGTCTGCTGAGCCATGTGGTTCATTCAGCTCCCTGGCTGGGGATCGAACTCAGGTCACAGTGGTGATAGTGCTGAGACTTAACCCCTAGGCACTAGGGGCTCCAGTCATATTTAACTATTCATATCCCCACTCAGCATGTCCTCATTATTATTTCACACACTGAGTGTTTTGACATGTCTACACAGCACCAGTGACTGGGGCTTGATTCCTTCTGCATGTTCTTGCCTCTGCAGCCTTTTTCTTTCTCCTTGTTTGTGGCTTCTAAAATTTGTGACCTTCTGGTATTCCCTCCGTGGGATGATTCACACTCTCAGCTTTTGTTTGGATGTGACTTTATTGCTCATTCTGGAAAGATATTTTCACTGGGTGTAGAATTCTAGATGATCAGGTATTTATTTCCCTTCAGGGCATTAAAGTTACCACTCAGGCCCTCCCTGGTGGCACAGTGGGTTAGTACGCAGTGCTGCATGTGAACAGTAGCTGCTTCAGTGCAAGTTTGATACCCGCCCTGGAGGTGACCCAGATGGCGCCAGACCTCTCCTGACCTGCCCGCTGCTCCCCTCAGCAGTGTACTTCATCTATCTGCCTATTCTGCTCCCCACTATGTCTCTGGTGAATCCTCTCACTGCCTCTGTCCTGTTTCCCAGTTTGTATGAATAAATAAATTAATTAAAAAAGCTATCACCTTACTTCTCTGACATTGCTGTTGAGATCTGTCCCTCTCACTGATGTTCCCCTGGAGATGATGTGTCTCCTTTTGCTTTGGTTGTTTATCGGGTGTTTGCTTTGTCATCTCATGTCAGCGGTTTTACTCTGATGCACTCAAGTATGGATTTCATTGTATTTGTCTTGCTTGGGGTTTGTAAGCAATTGAATATGTGCCATGTGGGTCAGCTCCCTGGCCAGGAATGGAGCTTACTTTGCAGTGGCTGGTGATAGCTTCATAGTGCTGAGACTTAATCCTGGGCACCACCAGGGAGGCCCAGGGATTTTTCTTTTTTAAATATCTTTTAATTTATGCACACAGAACTGGGGTACAGGCCACAGGTGCAGGGCGGTAAGAGGCTTCACCAGAGACAAAGTGGGGAGTAGAACAGGCAGATCCATGAAGTACACTGCTGAGGGAAGTGGTGGGGAGATAGGAGAGGTCTGCCGCACCATGTCGTCAGCTCCCAGACTGGGATCAAACTTATGCTGAAGTGGCTGCAGCTGGCTTTGCAGTGCTGTGCTTTTTTTTTTTTTTTTTAAGATTTTTTTATTTGTGCATACAGAACTGGGGTACCGGCCAGAGACTCAGGGGTGGCAAAAGACTTCACCAGAGACAGAGTGGGGAGCAGAACAGGCAGGTCGATGAAGTACACTGCTGAGGGGAGCAGCGGGCGGGTCAGGAGAGGTCTGCTGTGCAGTGTGGTCACCTCCAGGGCAGGTGGGAATCGAACTCATGCGGAAGTGGTTTCAGCTTTTTAGTGCAGTGCTTTAACCCACTGCGCCACCACGGAGGGCCTGCAGTGCTGTGCTTTTACCCATTGCACCGCCAGGGAGGGCCAGGAAATTTTTTTTGTTAAAAATACCGTAAGCTTCAAGCTGCATGTGATACAGGTTTATTGACAGCCTCTGCTCGTAGGTATTCAAGATGTTCTACATAATCACCCAAGACAGATACCCAGGAATGTCATGACGAAAAGAGGTTGAGAAATAAGACACACACACACAACACAGCCCACATAGACTCTCAGCGTCCATCTCGCCCATCCTGAACCTGGTGTGTTCCTGCAGACAGAGTCATATCTTATAGTTCACTATAATTTGATCTCTCCTTTCTCTCAAGGTTGCAGTTTCTCAAGTGACAGTTTTCTCCCTCCTTTTCACAGCAGCCAGTCCCAGTGAGGGGCAGGGTCAACTGTTAGGGAGGTGCATGGGTGAGTGACCGGCAGCACGCAGGTCAGGGCACCTTAAGGTGCAGCTACTGAACAATGGGGCAGGTCCAACTTCAGCCCCAAAGCCCTGTGCCCTGAAATGT